TTTTTTTTTTCTTCCCTCTCGCTGAGGTGAAGCCTCAACACCCCCCCAGCCTCTGGTGTAAATAATTCAGGAATGATTTCACGAAGTGTGGATCTAACAGTAACCCCTGAATTGGGATAAGTGCCTTGGAATTAACAAATAACTGTCCAACTCATTATTTCCCCTCCCCTCATCAGGCTGCAGGGCATGGTGCCTTTGGCATATGCTCTGCCACTTGAGTCCTGAAGAAAATTAAGGAGTGGATTTGGCACCAGCAGATTCTGGAAAGGGCTTAAATAGAAAAGATGTCCTTGTGTTTGTGCAAGAAATCTGCAGAATCTTTGCTCCCACTTGCAGTGCTCTGTGTTTGTTCCTGTGCAGCCCTGTCCATGCTGAGCTGGATTACCTGTTGTTACATGTGAGGGAATGGTCAAAGAATTGGTAGTTAAATTTTTTACTGCTGCTGCTTAGTAAAGTGTGTGCTGGAAGGTGACCATCTTTTTGGATCATGTGCTCAAAGTGTCCCAGATTCTGTGCCTAGAAGTAGCAGAATGCTTTCTGCTGCTTGTGCACTCTGTTGAATTTTGGATTCACAGAACCACATAGAATGGTTTGGGTTGGAAGGGACCTTAAAACTCATCCAGTTCCACCCCCCTGCCATGGGCAGGGACACCTCCCACCAGCCCAGGTTGCTCCAAGCCCCGTCCAACCTGGCCTTGGACACTTCCAGGGATCCAGGGGCAGCCACAGCTTCTCTGGGCAACCTGTGCCAGGGCCTCCCCACCCTCACAGAGAGGAATTTCTTTTTAATACCCAATGTAACCCTACTCTCTGTCAATGTGAAGCTGTTCCCCTTGTCCTGTCACTCCAGTTCCTGATGAACAGTCCCTCTCCAGCTTCCCTGGAGCCCCTTCAGCCCCTGGAAGGTGCTGTGAGGTCTCCACACACCCTTTTCCCCTCCAGGCTGAGCAGCCCCAGCTGTCCCAGCCTGTCCCCACAGGGGAGTCCCTCCAGTCCCCTCAGCACCTCCACGGCCTCTGCTCCAACAGCTCCATGTCCTCCTTGTGTTGGGGGCAGCAGAACCGTGCTCAGCACTCCAGGTGGGGTGTCAGGAGAGCAGAGTGGAGGGGACAATCCCCTCCCTGGCCCTGCTGCCCTTTGGATGCCTCGTTGTGTTCATTCTCCCTACGGGGCAAAGGGACAGTCCCACAGGCACAGCAGGGAATGTGTAAAATGTTGGAGATGTTGTGGTGTGTGTTTGCATTCGTTTGCAGCTGGTGCTTGCCCATGTGACAGGTAACTCTGGGGTCCCTGCAGTGCCTCAGAGCTCTGGATTTCTTGAGGTGTCTGCAGAGCTTGTTCAGTTGTTCTCTGTGCAGTGACTGACTGGTTGCCTTTATTCCCTTGTAGAGCAAGGCTTAGATCACATAGCAGAGAACATCCTTTCGTATCTGGATGCCAGATCGCTCTGTGCAGCAGAGCTGGTGTGTAAGGAGTGGCAGAGGGTCATCTCGGAGGGGATGCTGTGGAAGAAGCTCATCGAGAGGATGGTACGCACGGACCCGCTGTGGAAGGGGCTGTCAGAGAGGAGGGGTTGGTAAGTACCTTCACAGCTAAACTCACCTTCTGCAGTGCTCTCCTTTACAAATGCCCTAATAGTGAGCTCTGCCATAAAGGAAATCTATAGTAAATGGGTATTGCTGAGCTCCAGGGACTGGGGGTAGCTGTGGTCAAAGCTCTCAGCTCCCCTTCCTGCCCTGCCTTGTCCCTTTGTTCTCCTGTGTCTGTCACGCTTGCTTAAATCTTTCTGCAAATTTGGAAGTTCTGTTTTGCAGGGAGAACTAAAGATTCCATCAGCTCACAAAAACCAGTGACGTTTGCAGGGCTTTTTCTCAAGTGAAGTATTTCCAATTCAGCTTTTTTACTCACAGTGTAAAAGAGCTGCTTGGGCTGCAGAAACCTCTCGAAGAGAAACCATTTCTGTTTGTGGCAGTGGACTTCTGTCCTTTCTAAATGTGTGGAGGGACGTTCTGCTTCTGAAACCTGTTTCCCTGTGCTCTCTAGTGGTGTGCCGGAGCAAAGCAAGGCATGTTGTGCAGAGCAAGGGACACCCTGCTGCCTGGAAACCTTGTGGAGCAGTGAATCCTGATTGGAAAACCATAAGGAAAATACCTGTTATCTTTTTAATCTTGGACATTTTAAATACTTGTCAAATTGCACAGTCACAAGGGTTGTAACAGCCATATTAAAATTTCTCTCATGTCCTAATGGTTTGTTCTGGGCAGGCTTTGCAACCCTTCAGAGTTTGGGTTCTTGGTGATATATTGAAAAGTGTGTTTCTGTTTCTTTCTAGGGATCAGTACCTGTTCAAAAACAGACCAACAGATGGGCCCCCCAACTCGTTTTACAGGTCCTTATACCCAAAGATAATCCAGGATATAGAGGTGGGTGTTCTGGTGGATTGTGTGTGCAGCACAAGTGATGGTGCACCCTGGGGGGCTTTCAGAGGGGGTACCTGTTGGAGCAGTGGATCTGTGTCACTGCTGCTCTCAGCAACTCTCTGCCACAGCACAGGCATTAACTTGGTGTTAACACCATCCTTTTTGCACTTAAGGATTTTTGGAACTCTTCTGGGACTATGGATTTTAATGGAATAACTGATTTAGAGCACACTACTGCAAAACAGTGCTGAATGTTCAGTATCCTGGTCACACTCCCTTAGAAAGTGATCTGAGGGTTAATGCCTTCAAACTCTGGTCATTTAAAATGTAACTTAATGCTTCTAGAGCAGTGACTGACTTTTGCAAATCCAGCTTTGCTCACCATATGGGATTTTTCCCCTCTCCAGTGGTTTGATGGGAACAATAACCAGGCCTATGATGATAAACCCACAGGGGCATCAGTGACAAACTTCAGATATAAAATTTTGCTTATCTTGGTTTAAGACTTCAGAGTGGGGCTCGCTTGGTCATTTGAAAGTACTTCTGATAAATCAGGATAATCCCAGCATTCTGTTTGCTGTGTACCCACCACAAAACTCTGCAGTTACACCACAGACTGACATGGATTTATTTCAGGATGTGAAATGGTTGGTCATTAGTGGGGAAACACGTGTTTTGGTGTTGAAGACAGATGTGAACTAATGGAATCACTGTGCAATGGCAAATGGCAATTTGTGTTCCTTGGCGCTCAGGAGACGAAATTATCCAGAGCTCTTAACCTGGCTGTGAAATGCATCTGCTGGAAGGCATAATGTACTTCTCAGATATCTTTTTATAAACCTTGCTTCATAATTTATTAACATTCAGAGATAAAGAACTCAGCATGAAATGCAGCCTAGGCAAGATATGACCAAACTTGATTTTTACCTGTGAGTTGAATGATAGACTTTGTTATTTGATGTCTTCTCCCTGTAAGGAATGAGAGTGATGCTGCAATCATCAGAAGCCCATGGGATTTAGAGGAACTCTTACTGTGACATTTTCTTGCTTTAGCACAATTCTGGCCTAGTTCTGTAAAGAAAATGGGCAAAAAGCAACATGAAAACTTTGGCACGGAACACTGAAAGAGTTCAGTGTTAATATAACTCACACTTTGAAGGATGCTCTTCTGAAACTCATGTATATATTTGTGGAACAGTTCTGTAGGAATTGTTACTGTTAAAGATGGGGGAATTCCTTGAAGGTGTTCTGAGGACTTTGAGGCCTTTTGAACTGTCCCATCTGCTCTTCAATGCTGTGATTCTTCAGTTGCTGTAGAGTTGCTGGTGCAGTGCACAGAAGTGAAGCTCCTGAATTGGACAGTTCTTGCTAGAATGAAATAAGTAGGAAAAAACTAAACCCTTCGTGCTTTCCTCATTCCCAACATCAATCATCTATAAAAATGTTCAGTCTGAGAGAGGGGAAAGGTGTGCCATTAAAAAGATATATTCATCAGCATATATCTTAATAAACCCTCTAAATTTCATTAAATTAACAATAAATATATGAAACCCTCAGATTAGGAGAAAAAATTGCACTGCACAGCCTGGCAAGTAAGAGCTCATCTGTTCAAAATGGGGAGAAAACAGCCTGGTGTTTGGAAGTGACGAGACAGAGCTGTGTTCCCTGCAGTGCACAGAGTTAACTGGGAGCTGTTGCTGGAGTTTCTGCCCATTCCAAGCTGCCTGGTGATCCAGCTGCTTCTTCCTGTGGCTCTTGTGCTTTCTATCCAGTGCCTCCATCCATAAGGAAGTGAAATATTCCTGGGGAAGGCAGGGAACTCCTGTGAGTCTCAAGTGGAGGGAGGCACGAATTAAGAAGCAGAATCAAGGCTGTTCAGGGAAATCCTCCTGTAGTTCTGTACTTCCCCTTCCATGCTTGTTTCTATAAACCCATGAAAAATCCTCAGTTGGTGGTGGTTGTCGATCACTGGGGGTCAAATTTAAGGTGTTGGCAGTAACCCCACCACCATCCATGGCCCAGGGGCACGTGGGAAGTGGAGTAAAGCAGGGACCTGTCAGCTCTGGGCTCCTGCCTCAACTTCACTTGAGCAAGAGGAGCTGAAGCCTCTCTTTGCCTGAATTAGGAAATAAATCACAGAATCCCAGAATATGCTGAGTTTGAAGGGACCCACAAGGATCATCCAGTCCGACCCCCGGCCCTGCACAGGCCCAGCCCCAAGAGTCACCCCCTGTGCCCCAGAGGATCAGCCAAAGCCTCCTGCAGCTCTGGCAGCCTTGGGGCTGTGCCCACTGCCCTGGGGAGCCTGTTCAGTGCCAACCACCCTCTGGGGGAAGAACCTTTTGCTGAGATCCACCCTGAGCCTGCCCTGACACAGCTCCAGCC